AAATCAATCCCTTAAGGTTCATTAAACTAATTCTCTATTTTGACAGGTGATCAATATACAGTCTCAGCTCCACAGTTGATAGTCACGAAAAATGGTGAAAGACTCATTGCAGATCGAACGTTGACCCTTCAATATATATATAATGTTCTCTACTGGTGAGGAATGCCTCAGGTTGCGGAAGCATGTACCCAACTAATGTGATTGTAAGGTTCACCAATATTGCTGGCCTGTCCCTGATTGCTTCAACTTATTTGGAGAAAGCTGTTGATTTCTGGGCATCTTACCTCCTGCCATTGTGCTCAGTCTGGATTTCGATTCCTCTGATGCTGTTTTGGCAGAAGAAATTTGGTAAGTTTTTAGAACCTAACCTCCGCCCAAGCTTCATCCTGATACAGGAAAGTCAAGCTCTCGCCACAGGGGAACGTCCTGCCACAGGCAGCAAAAGTCATTGCATGTTCGGCCCGAGAGCGATTTCGATTAGATGCAGCAAAACCAGCATTTCAAGCAGAGAAGTATGGAAGGGAGGTTGAATGGGATGACCAATTTGTCTCAGAGATGAAAAGGGGTCTCATAGCCTGTAAAGTCATGTTTGTCACTTCGCAAGCCTTGTCTTGTATGTCACTTGCTAACATTTTAGCCAGGGCGTGCTTTGTACCATTCTACTTATGTACAAGCCAAATCACAAACAATTTGGTCTCCCAAGCTGGTCAGACACGGCTGGGTGGAATCCCAAATGATATGGTTCAGGCACTCAATGCCATCGCTTGTGTTCTTCTGGGCCCAGTAATACAAAAGTTTTCTCTATCCTACACTTCAAAAGCATGGAATTGCATTTGGACCTATTGCTCGCATGACTTCAGCATTTGTTACAATGAGTACCGCGATGGCTTTTACCGCAGGATTACAAAAGTTGATATATATGAGGGGACCATGTTACGACCACCCGCTTGCTTGTCCAGATTCGAAGAACGGCAGTATACCCAACGATATCAGTGTCTGGGCGCAAACACCCATATACATCCTGCTAGCATGTGCGGAGATTCTGGGATTTGCAACCTTATCTGAGTACAGCTACTCCAAAGCACCGCAGGACATGCGCAGTTTGGTGCAAGCATTGCGACAGGTAACCGCAGGCATTGGATCTGCATTTGGCATAGCTCTCTCGCCACTTGCGCAGAACCCAAAGATATTGTATCTATATACGGGATTAGCAGTGGTGATGATTGTTGGTGCCCCAATATTCTGGTTGGTGTTCCGGGGTTACGACAAAATCGATGAGGAGCTCAATGTCATGGGATCAATTCAGCCTTCTAACAATGATCATATGGAGGAAACTACGTCTACTGTCCGTCCATGACAGAAGACTGCATTTGGCAAGTTTGCGCATATGGAAATAAGTTTGCATGGCTCTATTAGATTCCAGTTACAATATGAAAAGGATTATTAGGCTTTCTGGTCTTTGGTTTCCTACTTTAAAAGTAGAAAACGATCGAAAGAGTGAAGTTCAACGCGCTAGACATGGATGTTGAATAACAAGCAATAATAAGAGTAGTCGCTGCGCTAAGAACCTGGGAGGCAGAGATATTGCGTGGCTTTCATGCTTGGCTTCGGTGTTGCGTTGAGAATACCGCTATACAACTAGGCCGAAATAGAAATCCTCTCGTGACCCAAGTCCCTAGGTGGTATCGCTGATGTTGAACCCCAGAATACCTGATATTCACCCAATGCGTAATCATCAGTGAATCAAATGATAATGCATCAAATTTTCCCCCATCCTCCTTGAGGCCACACCTTGCATATACTTACAGTAAAATTCTGGTCATTTCTCGGTGCTTTTGTATGAGGCTGCGATACTGTGAAATTGACAAATACGAAGAACTTGGGATTCAAATTGTCAAATGTAACATTGTAGCTAATATTCTCAGCCTCATTCCAAAGAGCTATCCTTGAATATTTTACTCCGCTCCAAATCCATTTCACTAAAGATGTGGCCTGTGGGATCCCGTGTCAAAAATTTCAGCCGAGATCCCATTCCAGCTCACACGAAGTCGAGTGAGACATTTCCACTTCAGTATTCCGCTTCTGGAGGCAGATCTAAGGCCATGGACACGGTGCAACTGAGCTGCCAGTAACATACTAGGGGGGCAAGGAAAAAAAAATGTTAGTAGTCCCTTCAATAACAAGGGGATGATCATTAATGGAATATTTCTGCTTAGCATGCTTGAAGTCCAACATTTAATTCCCTCCAGCCATTGTCATTTCCCCCAGAATCAGCAAGAGCAAACGGGTGGACATCTTATTTTACCCTGGGGATTTCTGAAAATCCTGCCGGCAAAACCGCATAACATGGCAATTGTAATGCGTAGCGAGGGGGTGTTTGGAATTCCCCACAGCATACGGTCTCTCCTTCGTGCGGCGCGTTCCAAGGAAGTTGGGTGGACTAGTTGAACCTGTTATTATTGGTAAAGAAGTCTGTCCTTAGCATCGGTGTTTATGTGATGCTTGAGCTCCTAACATCCTGATTGATCTTGGCCGGGATACATACCACCACCAAGAAGAAGTTATGCAATGCGGGGTATGCTTTGTGATATACCTCTGAGTTCCTGAAAAGGTGGGCTAGGAGTGGATTCCTGTAACTAAACCCTGTGCCATTCTGTGGTCTCAGTCTGCTGCGTGAGATAGGAATGAAGTGTACTCTGTATCTTGTACTCATCTGGGCATTTGACCTATGTGTCTAGGCAGCAGCTTCAAGTTGGCTGAATGCACAGAATTACCCAGTGAATGTGAGTGGAGAAAGTGCTATGATGGACAATGATGATCGGTGTGGGGGAACGCGGATCCACGCATTTGGCCAACGGTTTTGCCAATGAGGTTCCCACACTCTCTCACCTTGAAACATCAGGAATTCCGGCTTGGGCCGAGAGATGGAACCTATGTGGCTATGCTACATTAGTGGAGCACCAGGAGAGATGTGTGTTTCGGGCCTATCCGACCGATCAATGAGGTTCAAAGTAAGCGGATACCTAATTGGCATGTCGCGAAGGTGGCCAGAACAAAAGAGCGAGGGAGAGGTCAAGTACTTCGCGATACATAGGTGAAGCTAACTCTCTTTCCAGAGATACGTCATCATGATGGATGAAAGGTTCATTGAGAAGCCGTGGCTTGAGTCAGGAATATGAATATGGTTGAATTTCTCCAGCGTCTCCTCCGTAAGGAGTAATCGAGTCGGCCTAGAGCTGCCTTGGTGATAATATCCAATCGCCAAACGCTGCAATTATACTATCATCATGGATAGGCCGTACCCATACGCCTGGGTAGAAGTGATATCACGGTAGGATAACGCGAACACACAAGGCCGAATGACGCGTTAAAGTTCAGGGATCAGGGGAAACGTTCCCCCGATGGCCCGAACCCTAACCTTCCTTATGGCGAGGTTCGGTTTGCCACGGCTTGCCCTGTCGAGAATACTCCTGCCAGGCCATTTTACCGCGGCCAAGAAAACGTGCGCGCTGTTTTGGCATCGGCGTTTTGTGGCTGTCTGGAAACACGAACAGTTAACGGCCCATCTACGGAGTACGGAGTACCCAGTTATATTCATGCCCGATGACGACGTCAAGGATCGGAATACATTCGTCCAAGCTTTTTCAAAGGAGTGCATTTCAGAAATTGAAGCTGATCACAAAGCAGCTCTGGTATGTGCTGAGGCCATGAGGTGTCTGAAACATAAACTGGACAATATGTGGCTGGAAGACAGCTATAGGGCACAGGGGGTGTGAAGGGACACAAGGGAACACCTTGCTGAAACCAAGAGGTTGGCAGGAACTGGGCTATGTTACTCTGATGAAGAATAATTTTGATGCTCCCAGAGTTAAGAGCTACAACCAGGGAGACTGGTACGCAATGAGCTATGCGGACGGCGAGCCCCGTTTCATACCATCCAATGCTATGATGCTGAGCTCTAGATGCGACTAGCTGAGGTATCCTAACAGCTGCGATTCACAGTCTACGCTGACAGGACCTCCACAGTCGCCACCATCAATTCCCAACCATTCCCTCTCGGTTCTTAGAGAATGACACCTTGTATCGGTTGCGAGTCAATATTGTCATTTGCGAGAGCAAAAGTTCTGCATTAATAATGCCAAGTTATGCTGTAGATGCACGCTCATATATCGTTCTCTGGAATAATGAGATCATATCAAACGTCTGTGGATCACCATTCATGAGCATTTGCCCACCGTAAACACCGCAGAGATTGGCTTCGCGGTTGATGAACTGCAAAAAGCAAGGATATCAGTTCAACTAATCTATCCTGATGGGACCCAACCTTTAACAAAATTCTATATGTACGAAGTACCCAAAACAAATTTGGTAATCCACTCTATGTAATAGTTTCTTTGCGTCTTCCCCAGCCAATGTTGTCCAACGTCAACATACCTCCCAATCCCCAGTCATATGGAGCAGTGTCAATATATTCTGCAATATAGTTCCTGCTGGGTTCTCTGATACTAAATAATTTTTGAATAGCTTCTCGGCTTTGGGATGAGAGCTGAGGCGTGAACATCATTTCTACCATTCTCTGACTCAGCAGCTTGCCGTCATCAACAAGAATGCTCTTTAAAATCTTCAGGTACGATGGTATGGAAGTAAATCTGCCCACCCATTTCTTCAGTGTAGGTTCCAAGCATAGAAGGTCCGGCATAAGGAATAATTTTCCCCTTGGCGTCAGCAACGGCGGGGGGGTCACGAAGAGCCATCTCAGCAAGACGCTTGTTGAGATCTAGATTCTTCAAAATGTTGCATCGTGAATTCCCAGGGGACTCCAGATTTGTTCTTTCATGTATTCTTCAAGACTCATTTTTGTCAGACGCGCGACGAGCAAACCCGCCCAGTCGAGGCCGGTTCCCTACCCCCAGTTGGTCCCAGGCTCGAAAAGGAGAGGACTGGTGTAACGGGTTGTGATGGTGGGACAGTCCAAGGCCTTCGGTCAGCCCATAGCTTTGTTATATTGTCGATGCAGGGGACTCATCCCCTCGTAAATGAGGCCGGATGAGTGAGTAAGAAGATGGCTGTATAATACTCACCGCGTAGATTGCTAGATGAGATAGTTTTATTATCAGATAATTTAGTACTTCAACTGATCACAGATTAATCGCATTCTTCCTCTTTCTTAAGATCCATTCTCTTGTGTCGGAATTGTGGCCCTCCAGATTCTCCAATGCTGCCAAATCAGGCAATATCTGAGCGACGTCATCGTCTAGCTGGATCAAGCCACGTTCGACACATTGCAAAACTGCGATTGAAGTCATGAGTTTTGTCAATGAGAAGATCATCATGATATCATCATTTTTGATGGCTTGTTTGGGTTCTTCGGAGAGAGTTTTGAAACCGAACGCTCTGAGGTTCGTGAAGCTCTCTGATGAGAAGACATGGGTGTAACTATATCAGCAAACTAGTTTGTTCGGGAAAATTCATTGGCGCGAAGCCTAGTTTCTGTTCCCCATACCGTCCTTGTTCGAAGATGCGAGCACAGCATGTGGGATTTTGCCGGTGTTACAGGCCTCTTCGAAAGCCTTTTCAAGGGATACCATCGTATTGTATCTCTGCTCTCCCTGGGTATGGATAAGGTAGGTTGAAAGAAAGGAGTCCTTTGTTTCAAGAGGGTATATCAAGCCTTTGCTTCCTCGCGGGTATTTCGACTCTCTGTCAGTGCCTTGACCCGCACTTTATACAAATACCAAGAGCCCGCTTTCGACCAGCCCACCAATTGGCGTAGGGCGGCATAAGCGAATGAACACGTTGCTGTCCTTCTCGTTTTGCGGGGCCATTCCCTGTTTTAGTTAGGATAGTTGCTCGGATAAAACTCCGGATATATATGCATCTTTTTAACTTGTTTGGGAGTTTTCTCCACCTTGTAAAACCTCAAAAGATTGAGATTTACGAACGAGTTTGATTCCAGTGAGAACAAGGAGCTTGGGGGAGTTGTCGGAACTGCATTTAGTACTAAAGCAGCCAAGGGTGGCGGACCCAGCTGACCCTCGGTCCAACGATAGTTAGCCATAGTGATGGCCAAACACTAGCTGGAGAGAAGTGAGTTTCTGTACGACTCGTATATTTACAAAAGCTGTTTCGACTCTCATCGGAGATGCCGCATCGTTGGTGAAATGACGCGACACAAACGGCAAGATCCGCCAAGGTGCGGTTCAAGGGGCGATCGAGACGCCGACACGGCACTGACTGATGAATGGAAGATTCGAGTGACGATACAAACCCTTGGGATATTTAAAAAACTATCGATGAATTCATTATATCAGCAAAGAACCGCCACTTCGTAGATAACGTGCAGTATCGCTCCCAAGAATAGTCAACAAGATCATTCCTCTGGACGACATGCCTCCTTAGCATAGGTATATACAGATATACAGAACCACCTGAGCTATGAACCAATCGAGCGCTGTGGCCAGTGAAGTGCTTCCTCCCACTGGACGCCCTGGGGCTCAATGGCCGTCGACAGCTCAAAAATCAGCGCCTTACCTGAATTCCTCGCCCACCATCGTCGGCCGTCAAGTTCATGCAAGAGCACGCCCCAATGCATTAAAATCAACACAGGCAGCGGTTCTCGACGCTGCACCGCAACGACAAAATCTTTATCAACCATGGCCAACCAGGCCAGGACCGCGTCGATGGTGGAGCTCAGGGTGAAACGGCGAAAGCAGCGATGCAGCAAGCTGATAGCGTCCTGGTTAATACGGTGCTTTTCCGGATTCGCTGTATCCAGCGTATCGTCATTCAGACAAGCGAGGCGCTTAAGAGCCAATTCCTTATCGTCGTCGAGACGATCTGCTGCCGGTCGGGCCCAAAAGTCAGATTTGGATGCAAAGATTGTTCCTTCACGAAGCCATGATCTAGTGATTTTGAATATATTCCCAGCTCCCTGGAGTAGTTCAAAGACGAAAATAATGTTTTCCGTCATACTGCTCCCTTGTTCGTGGTCTGCGGTCATCTGCGGGAGAGCGATTCCCAAAGCGGTGGTTATCACTGAATGGGCGAGTACAGGCTCGCAATTCACAGGCGTTATGTTATCTAGGGCCTGTCGAAACGGTGCAATTGCCATGTTGTAGTACTCGAGCGCGGTATCAATGTAAGACAATGCTGCTGGGGGGGACAAGCTGGTTGCGATATGCAAGGAAGCCAGGGCTAGCATGCCATTCATGAGAAAATCATATCCTAGAGCTTTCCGCGGCAGGACCATCTGCCACACATGTTCTTCTGAATCCTCGATGGAAAGACTTTTGTATGTCTCTGTGGAGAACTTGTGCATCAGTTCTAGATCCCGTAATGCGGTCTTCCGCGCAAACGGGCTCGCGCTAACTGGCGAGAGTGAGTTTGAGGGAAGCGAGGGTTCGTAGCATGGCCCTTCGATAGGTCTAGCGAGGCTGGTTGCTGGGTTCGGGGCGCTGCGTTTGACAGCACGAGAATAGTCGCAGGGCAGCTCCCTCCGGGCACACTGTAAACAAGGTGGTCCGTTTTCATCACACTAGCAAATGAGGTTAGCTGATGCCGCCTGAGTGGACGGAATGGCGCTAAAGAAATAGAGAAGGCAAAAACGAAGCATATATGGCTTTTTTTTTTTTTTTTTTTTTTTTTTTTTTTGGGGAATCAATGGCGGCGTGGGATTGAGCGTGACGTCCAACCAACATGCACTGTCAAAAGGGATATTGGACCGGCCATGATTTAAATGGCAGGAAGCTGAAACAAGGCAAATATGGTTACAGATCTGTATCTTTTCCCTTACCTTACCTTTACTCTTCGTTTCTTACATTGGTCGCACCCATTCCGGGATTTCTTATGCGGTCGTCGGGGCGGCATGGCCGGGCGGGAAGTATCGTGACTTTCCTCCTGTGAAGACGTCGCCGTTTACCCGGCAGTCACCATCTTTCTCCAAGGAATCAAGCACTGGAATTCTCCGTCCACGCTCAGGTCTTCGCTGGTGCGAGAATACGACAACGAGGTCGCTCGAGGTGAAGTCCACAGGCATCCGCGCGCCAAGCCTTGTTGGCTCCAACCAAAACCCGGTGACGGTTCACTCCGCCCAACAACCTCTTCTCACAATCTTCAACGTCTCCAAAATCCAGCCTCGCCGACATAGATCCTGGTTTCGGAGTCGGGGACTTCTCCACTTCCGATGAAGAAAAACTATCCTTGCTACACAAGTTATGCCATCCCAGATTACTAATGCGACCCCCAGAAGATGGCCCGCGAGCAAATCAGACTGAGGCCTGGTTCGCCAGTGGGGGCCGGAGGAGCTTGGGCCGCGAGAGCGAGAGCGAGAACGGGAGCGGAAGCGGGAGCGAGAGCGAGGTCAAGTAAAGTTACATCTGACTCGTGCTCTCTCGCTTGTCGTTCTCAGAAGGCGATGTATATCGTTTTGCGCTCGTTTCACTGTCTCAGCTTTCTGTCATCGTCTAGTTCTCTCTTCACTTAAGCATGTCCGCTGGTATGTGCTTAAGGAGTTGCATCTGTCCCCCAGAGCGAATCCTCGATAATTTCTTATATCGAATTCTACTCTCATCCGCGGCATCCTCTACAAGATGGTGAGGGATTTTGCCGATTGCACGGAGGTTAGCCCAGTCTGCCCCGTGGAAGCCACTACCTATGGTTACTACCCCCATCTTGCAGCAAATATCATCTTCGCTGTCTTCTATGGTGTCACTTCTCTCTTCCAGCTTGGATTCGGCGTCTACTTTAAAACATGGACCTTTATGATTGCGCTAGCGATGGGCGCGTTGTTGGAAATGGCCGGCTACATCGGACGAATACTCATGAACGATAACCCTTGGGCGTCTGGGCCATTCAAACTCCAAATTGTCACTATCATCTTGGGACCGACCTTGGTGGCTGCCGCCATCTATCTGACTCTCAAGCATATCGTTCTCTTCCTGGGCCCGGAGAACTCTCGGATACCTGCGCGACTTTACACTTGGATATTCATCACCTGCGACGTTTGCTCCCTCGTCTTGCAGGCTATTGGTGGAGGCGTTGCTGCCGCAGCTGGGCGGAATGATCAAGATAAGCTGGAGATTGGAAATCGTATCATAATTACAGGAATCGCCTTTCAAGTCGCGACGATGTCAGTCTGTGGATTTCTAGGTTTAGATTTTTTTCTCCGAGCCTCCAGGAAAGGGGCATTCTCGGATCGTGGGCAATTATCCGAAAAGCAACGCCATTGGAAGTCTTTTAAAATATTTTGCTGGGCGGAGATATTGGCATATACCACAGTCCTTGTCCGTTGCATCTATCGGTAGGTACATCTCCGAAAAGAAATTGACTCTTAAATGTAATTTGGTCTGATTGATTCGGCTTAGTATTCCGGAGATGGCTGGGGGATGGGGCAATGAACTTATGCAAAATGAGAAAGAATTTTTAATTTTAGATGGAGCGTAAGTTTGCTTTTCTTTTCTCTTCCCTTTTATGCTTGTCAACGCCCATAAGGGCCTGGAGAGCGCCAGCCTTCTCTTCATGTCTCCCGTCTAAGGAGAGTTGCATATCAGCTGCTCTTAGATTCCAAATCAATCCTCGACACGAGCTTACATGGAATCTTACCTCACAGAATGGTTGCGATTTCTGTTCTCGCCCTTACCATCTTCCATCCTGGAATATGGTTCCCTCCAATGAGAACAGGCTATCAAAAGGAGGTGTAATTTGAATCTACAGAGCGATCGCTGATCTTGCTTTGGCTGATTTTGGTTTTTGTGAAGCTCTGTACGATAAACGCTCATGATATGGAACCACACTCTCTCGGGTATTAAAGAAATGCCTTTTCAAAGCAATAGCACTGCCTATACCCATTTGCACAACAGAAGTGATTGATATGTACTTGTTGCATATTAAAATCACAAGTGAGAGGATACATTACTTTCGATCGAATTGTATTTTGGAAATGTATTCACAGAACCGCGGTTTTCAAGGCTCCCACACTTGAAGGAGGCATCACAGCGAAGGCTTAGATTTGCTTGGCCGTGTGACTCAGGCTCCCATACACCTGGATTCGTGATTGATGGGGACTTCTCTAACTGGTTCGCATATAAATATAAGCCGTCGCCTCTGTGGCCGCATTATCCTGCGAAAGCTTTACCCGCGGCTATTCAACGTTACGGCCAAGGCTTGCTCTCTGAAGCTGGAAACCCGCCCGGATCCCTGGCTTGAGCTTTATAATCTCGACCGCGACGACTTATCGTGATTTATCCACAATTAGGTATTGATTTTCAAACTCCGTAGTTAGGTTTTTCGTCTTCGAAAAGTTCACATAACTTATGGAGCGTCCAAGTGACAAGTGGAGTGGCTTCGCTCACCCTGAGCGCAAATCCGAGCAATATGAGCGAATGCAAGCGAATATCTCCTCCGCGAACTTTGAATACCTGAAAAGGCGGGCTCTTGAAGCTCGCGCGCGCCATTGGAATTTAATCCAGAGCATCAGCTGCCAAATTGATACCGGGCGATTTCCCTGGGGATTTAACGATGTTGTTTTTGAAGTCCCCTTCTCTGACGGCGTGTATTGGATCGCTCGAATCCAGTACGTGGCAGATGACCCCAACGACCTGGAGGGGGAGAAGACCAGCTCCTTGGGCGAAGTGGCTACGATGAAGGTTGTTGCAGATCATACAGATGTTTGACGACAAGGAGTTTACGAACAAACCATTCGGGTACCCAATTCATGCTGATGGAATATTTGGTGGTCATGCCTTGGACGAGATGATAGCTATGGCAGTGCCAGTTGCATCCCGACAAAACGTCGCCGAACAGTTTGCCAACGTGCTCTTTGAGTTTTAAAGACTGCCCTATGATTGCATCTGCCATTTTCAGTGCGATGATACTGGGCGATCAATGCCTGAAGTTGGTTCCTGTGAATCCAGCTCCAAGCTCATCGCTGGAATATTTTTGTATGCAACGGCAAGAAGAAGACCGAGCGGCATTATCGATGCATCCAGATGACGCAGAAGAGTGGCTCACCGCCTGCTGGGTGTTGAAGACGATTCCACATGTAATAAACGAGAATAGAATCCGTGGGCCATTCTATCTCTGCCATCTGGATCCGCATTTTGGCAATATGATCTTTGACGACGACTTTAACTTAACCGGCGTGTTGGACTAGAGCTCAGCGCAGTCCATGCCCCTGGAGCGCCTGGCCGTCACTCTCGAACTAATAACCTTCCTCGGTCTATCATCAAAAGAAAAAAGACCAAATCTCAAGTTTAAGGAGCTCGTCATTCGGTCTCTGCAAAAGAAAGAGCAGTCGCAAGCCTTGGTCGATGGTGATAAAGCGAAGGACTCTCAGCGCGCCACCACGCTGTCTCAATTCTTGTCTTCCATTTGCAATGAAATTACGCACCAGTGTCCATACAGCACTCCCAGGTCCCCCGGTATGGAAAACCCGGCCAAACCGGTATGGTCAGAAACACAAATTAACACAGTTTGTCTATGAGCTGGCGAGCGTCGAACGAATTATTTCTCCCGCCTGCTGCTGATAGCATATACAGTGGATATCGTCGCGACACCCATCACAACCTTTCTCTGCAATCTAAGCTAGAGATTTCGATCAAGGAAGCAGTGGAATTCTCACCAAGGACCCAGTCAGGAGGTTCAGCCTAAATGGGTGGATCGATGGATCGCTTCCAACGTACTCGTCTCCGTACAGAGTACGGAACGGAGAAATTTATGCCCGACCGGTAACGGTGGTGCATCACGTGATGGTGACTTCGCCCCTTTAAGAAGAGAGCGAAAGAACTTCTGATATTCCGCCAGCGCCAACTCATTCCCTGTTCACGAACGGGAATTTCCTTTTGGCCTAGTGGTTATAAGTTATAAAGCCTTCTGAAGGAAAAGTGGCGATATCTGAAGATATCAGGACTATTAGATATCCTAAGGAGTATTATGTTCAGTGGACTGCTCATGAGCATTAGATCGAAGAGCTTGTCTATTTTGACCAAGGTTCAATAGCCAATATAAATATACCCCTCCCTTCGATTTCCTATTATTGAGGTCTTGTGATGTTTTATGCTTGCATCATATATTCCTTGGCTATCTTCAGCCTTGACACTGTATATTCCTCCTTTTGTATAAGGTATCGACCGCAGTCCATCCCATTTATCGCCTTAACACATTGATAGTTACTACATGTTATCAAGCTCATACGAGCGGTGCTCCGCTCATCCTACACTCCTTAAAAGAATTGCACTACAAGGCAGAGGTGGAAAGCAGCATCCGAGCAAATATATCCATTCATGTCCTAACTATGGAGTGGCTAGGTATCCATGCCCCTTTAATAACCTGTTAACGAGAGATGCTGACTTGGCTCAAGGCGTATGCGCCCATCGGTAATCGAATTTTCCGTCTATTTCCCGGTGGATGTTTATTTCTGTGTGTGGCTGGCCCAAATGGGTGTGCCCCTGTAAAGAACAACGTTTCCATCGTTCTGGACAGCGCAGATGACGGTGCTGTCACCGGCCCCCTCTAATTTGGTTTCCCAGACGACCTTGTCGTTGTCGTCGCTACACAACTTTTATCAGCCTTGGAAAGGCACACCAGCAGAAAGCACAACATCCTGCAAGCTGCGAGAAAGAAGAGAGCTGAGAGGGGAAATGAACATACTACATGCGCAGGACGCCATCTTTCTCCATCTTGATGCCTTTCATGTTGTAGGACTGGTGGGAGGTGTTCTGGAAACGGCACTGGCCACCCCAGTACACGGCAATCTTGCCGTCTTCTTGCATCTTGAACTCGACGGAGCGATCCTCGCTGAACAGGCTGTTGCCTTTGAGGAGCCACTCGCCGTTACCGAGGGTGCTGTGCGACATGTTGGCTTGAGGAGGTATTAAAAATGCGGTGTTTCAAAATAATTCAAGTGAAAAGTAAGTAGTTGTTTGTGTCTCTTGGGGACTCGAGTGATGAGATGTGAACAACAGAGGAGCGGTCGGGAGGCGACACGACCATGTTTATATACCCTGATCTGTTCTTCGGTTCGGCCAGAAGGAATCTCTGCACTGACAACGCAGTACCATCATTTTTCATCTCCACTTCGCGCCCCCTCCCTTCTGTGACAAGCCCCTTGCCAGATCACCCCTCTCCGGCAGCTCGTGACAACCTATCAAAATGAATCCTGATTCGCGACTTTTCACCGGCTTCCCAGGTGTGGCCGCACCTACAGATTGATCCCGAGAATGATAGGGAAGCAATTGAGATGGTGTGCTGCTCAACGTATGCTGGTTTGGGTATGTGGTCTAAGCGGTGATTGTGCAAGGATCTCATAAATTTGAATTGGGCACCTTTACATTGCAGATTGCAGGCAATAGCTTTTGTCCTGTGGGGTCATTTCAACGATGCAGCTTTCACGGATCAAACCAGCCTCTATCAATGGCTAACTTTGTCGACGTGAGGTCAAAGCATTCAAGCAGGCAGTGTTGTGAAGCTCACAAGGTACTCTGAGTGAATGATATCAAAAAATAGCAACTTGCTAGTGTGGCAACTGGGTGATGTTGCCTTCAGGCTATGCGGGTGATATTTGATGAAGGTGTGCCGATAACTGAGTTGGTGGCCAACAAGGAGCTGGGTATCCTAGGCTTTGAGCGTAGCTCTATATCAATTTTAGCTGTGAGGCATCGCTGGCCCAAATGGTGATCAAGAAATTTCAGCCAGCCAAACTGTCAACACCATTGTCATTGACCACTGTCGTCAAAGCCACCCGGATTCACTGGTGTTGTTAATCAATGTAACAATGAGTATCTTAGACTCTGGCGGGAATCAGGGTCCTGGGAGTGAAGCAGGCATTTGTGGCCCATCAGAGAAGCTAGGACTGGCTGGTGTGCGTATCCAGTGGGGATATCACTGTCACCTAGCAGGAGACTGCTGAATGTGATGGAGGGCAAGGTAGGGTTCTGTCGCTTCCATTGCAACTGGAAGCGATGACTGGTATATTTCTTTATAGCATATTTCCCGTATTTTGAATGAAGCGGGTGTTTTTCTGAGGGGATAGAGACCTTGCGGGGTCCGGATGGTTATTAGAATTCAGACTGGGGGGTGTGAGGACTGTGCATCGGTATCTTCATGTGGCTGCCACCTGAGCCATTAACTCTTCTGGTCTCATTTGGGTACAGGTTTCAATTTTTCCTTGTGGTCATCTGTTTTAATTAAGTTTCAACATCTCGGAATCATGCATGTGTAAATTCATGCATACTGGGAACTATCCTTGTGGCAAGTTTAGGCTTCCAATACTTCAACTTGTGTTCATGCAAGTACTTGTCCTGTGCGCATGCCGGATATGAGGGGGTGGGAATGGCATTTTGTTTTCAACCAGCTAATCCACTGACTGCGGGGGTTTGACAAGCAACGGAATTTAAATGGTAGTTATAAAGTACTCTGGATGGAGAATATCAGTACGAATTCTAAGATTAAAGTGGAGGCATTTTGGCGATGGATAAGACTTTCAGCTAGCCATGTTAAAGAGCTGCTGGAGTGCCAGTATCAGGTCTGCCTTCTGGTGCTCTGTCCCACTCCTGATATGTTTATCCTAGTCATATACTTGTAATTGGGCCACATAATCTGGCCCAATGGTCAGTGCTTTTAGCTGCAAATACCGTAATGGAAGTATATGGTTGTTTTGGTAGTTTGGCCAATTGTTTGCCTTCTCTAGCTAAGGATTGCAACCATTCCATTCTAAGCTAATGTAGATGTGCTTGTGAGTCTCGAGAAGTTCAATTCACAATTGCTCTTCTGAACCCAAGTGCATCATCCTTGGCTAATAGTTCTCCAAGAGCCTGGCAGAATGTTTATTG